AAATGAAACTGGAGTGGGGGCAGGCCAGATACACGGAGACTTGAGGCTTAAATAAGGATTAGTCTATCTGTCTGTCTGACTATCTGGAGAGAGAGAGAGAGAGAATGAATCCCAGTATTGCAAGGGATTTTTAATTTTTATTTTTATCATTTACCCAAAGATCACACCCTGGAGAAAACACTCAAAGGAATTTTCCATTACTCTTGGAATAGAATCTGAGCTCTTTATTCTGCCCTGAGGGATTTTGTCCATTCTCAGGAGATGAAATCTTTCTCCTCCAGCTGAAGTACAATCCCTCCTCCTGTCTTCTGGGCACTAATTCCTTATGTTTGCTTCATGACCATGGTTGATAAGTGTATAAGTGAGCTTCAAACTCATTCTCCTTAGTGGCCTTTCATTCTAACCTTATAAATGTGTCTTTTCTGCTAAAGGCTAACAAGCAAAACAAAGTTAAGCCAAATCAAACGAAATCAACCAGCCAACCAAATGATGACAGTAGAAACAAGAGTAACAACTATTTCAACTTTCTGTAAGAGTCTAGAAAAGCTTTAGGATCATAGAATGTGCAACTATTTATGCCTTGCTAGTTTGGGGTTGTTTGATACATAATTATGAAGTTACTGGTACTGTCCAGCTTTGCAGAGTAAATATTCTAGAGTAACTGCACCATAGAAGACTAGTTTACTTGTAGTCGGAAAATTAGTGAAATTGCTTGTTCATATGTAGGAGAGAATGATTTGATAGAGTCAACGAAATGGATGTTGAGATTATTTTGAGGGGCAGTATATACTGAGTGAAAGGATTAACATAGAATATTTAGATAAAAGCAGATTAAAGTTTTGAAAATAAATTGATAGGAATGAACAGGAACGGTATATCATCAAATTAGGTTGTCCACATGGAACAAAATATCAGATGATGAAAATTAGAATTAAGACCATGACCTTTCGAAGAATCTCAGACCTTGTGTAGAAAACTGTTCATGTTCATATTTGGGGAAATGGAGAAATGGAACTTTTGTTTAAGTCTTTCCGTATGGTTTGGTATTCATGATTCCTCATGGGCAATTATTGCTTAGCATAGTCTTGACATGATAAGAAATGAACAGAGAAATTGGTTAAGCAAAGCAGAAAAACTACTCTTAAGCTCTAGAATTTTCTTTATGTCCTAGATGTCAAAATGTGGTCTATCTTTTGGGGAAAAAAATATAGATTAACTAGGAAATAACCTCCCCTTAAAGATTCCATTAATTTCATCCCAAGACATTCTTGGGGTAACCAATGAGTTTAGACAAATAGAAAAACTCCATCTTATATTAATTCAAATGACTTTGAAATTATTTGGAATAATTTTGATTTCTTAAATTCAGAAAGGCTTTTAAAATGGTGTAATGAATTTCTAGAATTAAATCAGTAAAATGATTACACTGAGGACTTCCTCCACCCCGAGTTTTTTTTTTTTTTCCCCCTCAGTTTGAAAATGTGCACTGCTTAGGAAGGTTTGGCTGATATAGAAAGTTACCTACTCGACACGTTAAGTGTTGTGTGATATTTCTATTCCTTCCATTTCCACACAGTTTGTGACTTCGGATATGTGACAGTTAGACCTACTTTGTCAAGTAGACTGTCTCTTCCTCTCCCTTTCTCACTCAGCTCCCTATTTTACTCACAGATCTCACAGACCAGCGCTCTAGTAAGCAATTTATTGCATCTCTGGGGCTGTACTTTATTCTCTTCTACTTTTTGGTCACAATTAATTTCCTTGCTCATCTCTTTCTCTTCTTCTTTGCTTTTGGACACTAGGAGGAAAAAGTTACTGTCCTTAAGGGGATCACACCGTTATTAAGGAATTGTATTGTAATTATTTACTGCTTTGTCTCTCTGTGTTGAGGGTAGAGCCTGGCTCTTTCTCATTTATGCCTAGCATAGTTCCTGACATAAAATAAATGCTGAATAAATTTTGTTGACTATTGATTGAAGACATCATCACTAAATTCAGAAGGGGTGGGGAAAGTATCTGTCTGTCTTCACTTGCAGCACTGTCTAAAAAACAGTGCCCCCTTAACTTCCATATATATTGCTCTCTGTTTAAAAGACTAAAATAAAATATAGAAAAGAAATTGTGTGAATAAGTTATTCCAAAAATTGGACTGCAAATGACCAATAAGAAGACATTCTATTTCACTCATTGTCAGATGTGCAAATTAATGTTTTTGGTCCATTAAATTCGCAGTAATTAAGAAGATTAATATCCAGACTAATAATGAGAGTTTACACATATTGTTGTTGTGACTCCAAGTTATAATAATATATAATTTGGAGCTGTAATTATTTTGGAAGAGTTATCTTTAAAATAAAATTTTTTAAAAATTTGATTCAATCATAGTATTGGGAATTTAATCTGCAGAAATGGAAGTATCATTATGAAAAGCTATTTGAGTTAAGGATGATTATTGCATCTTTGTTAGTAATAACTAAAGAAAGAAAAAAGGGAAAGAAACAACCTAAATGTTACTTTATAGAAAGAAGGCTAAATAACTACGATACGTCCTAATTAACTACAAAAAAAACCCTGCATATAGATCATTGTTATTAACATGATGAAAGAAAAAACCTAGATATAGAATATATAGTTTTATAAATGGAAACAAAACACTATAATGATACATATAATAATCCTATTATAATATTTTTAGACTAGTGAGAACAAACAGATTTTAAAAATAAACCAGCTGAACTAAATTCGGAGTAACAACTGATTATTGCAGGGTCAAAGTTGGGTTTCTCATGCAGGAGGGATTGTGACCCCTCTGAGCCATAGGACTGCTCATGAGATGGCTCTTCAGAGAGTAGAGCGCTCAGGCCTCAGTCCACAGGTTTGTATGTGTTTCCTCCAATCTGGCAACAGCATAAGAACAAGGAGGATGGGGTCAGGTCCTCGGGGACAGCATCACTTCTCTCTCCTTTTCCTTCTTCTGGGTTCTCAGTTTTAATGCAAACCATCTCTTACATGCCTAAGATACATTCTGAACTTGTTCGGAAGTTGAAGCTTCAGGTGAAGTTTATTTACGCTCAGATATTTTTCTACCATAATTATCAACATAGCCACAATTCTAAACTCTGAAATAGAAATAAACTCAAGGTGCTTTTTGTGTTTGTCTCTGGAGATAAACCAGGGTAGACGTGGAAACTGTATCTGTATATGCTGAGGTGACCTGTTGAGTCTGTGGTTCCAACAATTTGTAGAGACTGTCTTCTTTTTACTGAAATATGGAGATATATAAGACAGAATTTATGTTGGACCTGCATTTGCGAGGTAATTGCCTTGATTCTGCATTACCTATGGAACATAATTGGGATTTTTCCTATTGTAGGCAGATACTTATCTGCAACATTTTGCCGTGAAGATCAGGGCAAGAAAGCAGGGATGCAAAGCAGCAGAGAGTATAGTCTGCTTGAAAAGACATTTTAAAAATAGATATAATGCAGTTAGATTGCCTTAGCTAATTTCATAGCTTTAGAGATCTGAATTGGATTAACTATATTATAGTGTTCCAATCACCTGTGACCAGTGACAGGAGTATGGAATTGGGCAAAGTTTCTATGACAAGGCGTCTTTCTCAGATTAATGGCCTAAAAGCCACAGTAGTAAGAGTTTTAAAAGCTCCTCTCCTGTAGTCTCAGCAAAGTCAAAGAAAGTTCTCCCCACTGCTTCTGAAAAAGGATGTCTGATGAAACTGTTTCAAATTACTGAATAGCCAGGCTAATCCTGCCTGTCTCCAGTCGCTCACTCTGAATCCGTGTTTTTCTCACTATGGGAAGCTTTCTAACTATTTTTCAGATAACCACACTTGTATTTGGAGTGATTTGATGCTTTTGTAAGACCATGGCTGAAATGTATCTCTTTGTGAATATCCTTAATTCACTTAAAATCTGTTATTCCCCTTAATGATCCAAGAATTCAAATATTTCAGTGGTAAAGAAAGAGCATTTTATGTTCAGGGGGAATATCCATTTACTTCTTGGATGCCTTATGTTTCTAAAGAAGGAAAATAAATGAGATCACATAAGGCGTGTATCTTTTCTCTGGTATCAGTCATATTTCCTTATCTGGATTCTTTAATCATGTATTGCTCTTAAAACCTAAACTTGTTTTGAAAATTTACAGTTTTCAGTACCATTTTAAACATTTTATTCTTTAGATTCTAATCTATACCCAATTCTATGGACACTGAGATAACTGGACTGAAATTAATTGTAGAGCTATGTTGTTTAGCAACACTTTGCCCTAGACATCCCCCCTTCCCCGGGATTTTGGTACTTACTTGGAGAATTTTGAGTCAGTATTTTCTTATCTGAAGTGATATTTTAAACAGAGTTAAGATTTTGAGTAAGCAATGTGAGCTCTACTTTTTTCTTTCCTATATGTAATTCGTATCTTACTTTAAATCTTGTTTTCTAATTAAATAGATAAAAGATAACCCACAGACTCATTATTTTAGATATTACTATTCAGGTATTTACCATTTGTTTATTTGAATTAGTCTGAAATAAATGTTACTTTGTACAGTATATATAAAATGAGTTTGATAAATACATGGTATAAATGAGATTTTGCCAATACTTCAGAAGAACAAATATTTGAGCAACTAAAACACTGGTATGAAAAGAGATGCTGTAATTACTTTGAATACACAGAATTCCTAGAGACGCATTAAAATCAGTCCAAGCAAACTGTGGTATGAACATCCTATTAACACTTGGTTGAATCACTGAATATACTTGGAAACAAAAGAATTTTATTTATTGAATTATTCTGAAATTGACTGAAATGGACTCTTGTCAGCATTTCAGGATAAGTGGCACCTTTATCCTGTTAGTCTGGATTAATAAGCATCTGTGCATAAATATTGCTTATTTTTAATGTACTTGTGCTCAAAATGTATACACAATGTTTATTATGAAGGGCAACTGGACAGATAACCATCTTTTTTCTCTTAGGGATAGATCATCATTAAAAACTCTCAATGTAACTGAAACATCATTAGAAGTTTCAGATTTGGACTATAACGTTGAATACAGTGCTTATGTAACAGCTAGCACCAGATTTGGTGATGGGAAGACAAGAAGCAATATCATTAACTTTCGAACACCTGAGGGAGGTGAGTTCTTATGGATATAGACCGAGTGAAACAATATCCTACTTAGAAAAAATGAATTAAATATAAAGATGTCTTATTAAACCCAGTATCTGTTATCATTACATGCAAAATTGCCTTTTGGTCACTTTCTAGCTGTGTGATGTTGGGAAAGTTAGTTAATCTCTCTGTGCCTCAATTGCCCATCTGTATTATGGAAACAATATGTTACCTACTTCACGGGGTCCATGTGAGGATTAGATGAGTTTATATTTGTAAATGCACTCAGCACAGAACTCAACATTTGGTAAGTATTTTGTGTGTGTGTTAAATAGAATGAAATAAAACACACGAAGTCAGCTCTCTGCTTTGGTCCTCTATCATTCAAATTCTAAGTTAAATTAGAATTTTGTATTATATATCCCATATTGGAATCATGTTGTAACATTGTTCATATCTAGGGCAGCAAGGATTTTTTAGTACTAGGGTAGTGTTCTGTGAGTCAGAAATCCACGTGCCCTGCATGGATACTGCTATGGTAGAGTGTTATGGGGATGGCCCCATGAGCCTTTTGGATTTCATTTCTGACTTTTAATTAGATATTATTCCTTTTTTTTTAACATTTTTATTGAGTTATAGTCATTTTACAATGTTGTGTCAAATTCCAGTGTAGAGCACAATTTTTCAGTTATACATGAATATATATGTATTTGTCACATTTTTTCCGCTGTGAGCTACCTTAAGATCTTGTATATATTTCCCTGTGCTATACAATATAGTCTTGTTTATCTGTTCTACATTTTGAAATCTCAGTATGTCCCTTCTCATCCTCCACCCCCTTGTATACAAATACAAGTTTGTATTCTATGTCTATGAATCTGTTTCTGTTTTGTATTTTTTGTTGTTTTTTTGTTTTTTTTTTTTTAAGATTCCGCATATGAGCGATCTCATATGGTATTTTTCTTTCTCTTTCTGGCTTACTTCACTTAGAATGACATTCTCCAGGAACATCCATGCTGCTGCCAATAGTGTTATGTTGTCAAGATATTATTCCTAATTTGTTTTATTTAAACAATTATCATCATTTATCAAAGGCAGGTGACACTTGGAACACTTCAGACATTATTTGGAGACACAAGGTCAGTTTTTGTTCAATTGTTTGTTTTGTAGCACCCAGTGATCCTCCCAAAGATGTTCATTATGCAAACCTCAGTTCTTCATCAATAGTTCTTTCTTGGACACCTCCTTCAAAACCGAATGGGATTATACAACATTATTCTGTTTATTACAGAAATACTTCAGGCACTTTCATGCAGGTAAGACCTGAGCTTTCTCCTTGTTCTTTGTTTACATCCTTCTGCTCTGTTGATGATGACAAAGACTTGGCACAGCAGAAAAGTCTCTTATCTTACACTGAGAATAATGCATAAACATCTTATCAAACTCCCATCGACATAGAAAAAATGTGTCAGAGAAGTGTCAGATGCATTTTAATCTGTCTGTGCATAGACACACACACACACACACACATTTCTGTGCTAGCTTCAAATGTGTTGCCAACAATGAAGCTGCCACTGTTTAAAACTTCTTTATATAAATATGAACCTCAATTCCACTTCTCCAACAAGTGTTCTCTAGCGAGGTGATGACTTCATTAATTTATCAGCTAAAAAAATTTCCTTTTGTTTGTATATATATAGTTTTCATGTTTGGATGTGCTTATGTGTTTTTCTTCAAATCTAAAAATGTTTTCAGTTGTTAGCAGGAGGGATTATATCATTATTATGATTGCTTAGTATCAGATGTAATGAAACTACTAGGAAGTGCAGTTGTGCTTATTTAACTTGAAGTTATAAGGTCACAGTTTGCAGATGGACACTTTCTGGGATAGGAACAATAATAATTATTAAAATAGCTAACGTGCATTTCATTTAGAGAAATATTTTTAATTTTTTCAGCAGAATTCCTTTTTTATCTGAATTAAATATTTCACAGAACTCTAATACATGAAAAGAATAAAATTAGAGTGGTTGTGATTAAATCAGACATGGAGAGAGCTGGAATATAATCTGGGAAACACTAATTTAGAAGAAATACTGCCACTTACAGAACATATACCTTGCGGATAGGAACTATTGACTGCATGTTGATTGACTCTGACTATTATTAACTCTTTGTATCCTTTTAAGCAGAAGGAGAATAGAGATAAGTCTTACTAATTCTAAGTTGCCTAATTCCATTTCTGATTGACAACCCAAGTTTAGCCACTTGAGTTAGTTCCTATGAGCAACAACCTCTGTGACTAAAGTATGACTTCCTTCGTGCAGTTTAGGTTAATGAATAGGGTCAGAGCAGCACTTTGAAAGCTGTCTCCCCCAGCAGTGAGTAAAAGGAAGCCCAGAGGTTGATTGGACTTTTACGTTCTGCTCAAGGTCCTCTAAGATTGGGACTGCATATAAAAGGAGAATCTCTTTTATTACTTTTTTTTAAACTCTGTACGTTAAGCAATTTTTGCTGTTTATTTTTCTGTTCTGTTTGGGGAAGAGAAATGGGGATTAGTGTGCAATTTATACATACTTTTTACCACAATGTGTTTATATATTTAACAACGTATCATTATGTCATAGAGGCCATTTGAATTGTGGATTTTTCTTTTTTCATGATTTAACCAATATTCAATATTCAAAATTCAGTAGTTCTGGATCCTAGCAAAGGTTTTGTGTCTGTACAGGTTACTTTATGGCTTATATCTGATTCTCTTTCGGTTTTCTTTGTCAACGTCTAAATAATCAAGCATAAATACCTAACTATAATTTCCGCATGATTTTATGAACCTCCTCATTCTAACTTGAGTATATAATATGATCCCATTTGAAATTTGTCCTAGAAAATGTAATCTTTTATTAAATTACATTAAGAATGCTTTTAAGTGTGACAGCTGCAAGAGGGCACAGGCTAATGATGTTCAAACATTTCTCATGTTCCTTGAAGTTCATCCATGCTTTATTTCTCAAGTTAATGTTAAATATAGCATAAAAATCTTCACTACCTCGTTTTCCACTTTAGATTGCTAGAACAGAAGAAATCCTCAAAACGAACATTTTGGACCAGAATAGATGTATAGGTTTTTACTTCCTCCCCTTCCTTCTCCCTCGCACAGAACTTCGTGGAGTATTTCATGCATGGCACATCATAATCTGCTCTCTGTCCCTGGTACCTGCTGCTTCTCTTAGTTCCCTCATCCGATAGCAAATGGCATGAAGAAAAGGGTCGTTGTGTGTGACACTTACCTTTCCATCACCTGAAGTCCCCTGGGACTGTATCATAATGCTCAATAAATGTTTTCCTTGTAGAACATAAAATTATCATAACAGACTAATATTATTTTCAGTATTTAGTTATAATTTTGCAGCACTTTGAGTTTGTAGTGACCTTTCCTTCTTACTTTGTAGGATTTAATGTCTCAGCTACTACCTGGCAGTCCATCTTTTTCTTCTTCCAGTTGTGCATTGTGTTTTTTATAGTGTACTAACTCTTCTACATTTTACATTTACCCACTTATGTCTCCTCAGCGTGCCTGACAGTGTCTTATCATGTTAAAAAGTGTTAAATGAATACTGGTTGGTTAATCAAATTTGAGAAGTTTTTACTAAATACCTTCTGATTTTATATATATGTGTATATATAAAATACACACACACAGAGTAAGCCTTAATTAAATAGTTTAAGCCACAAGACATTTTTTTCCAGAAATAGATGAATGGAATAATCATGTGGATGATTGGTCTAATTCTAAATTTGTTACATGTCTGTGCATATCTGCTCACATTCAGCTGAATAACTTCTGGGTAATTCAAAATATTTGTTACTTAGTTGTCACCAAGGTCATAAGTAATCAGAATAAATCCTGTAACAAAGAAAAATAATAAAGCTACATTAATATTTTAAGAGATAATTTACATAAGCAAGTTAAGCCATGTGTAAAGTTGATTTTTGGAAGATACAAAGTTCATGGATCACATTTTGAGTTAAAATATTATAATGTTTTAACTTGCCTATTCCTAAATAAGTCACCACAAAATTTAAGTAGATCTTTTATTCCAATCACTCTTCCCCGGACCCTCACCCCCAAATACTGGCAGAGACCCAGAGAAGTTTGCTGAATTTAGTTTGTTGATACATTGCAGAAGCACGGTAACTGTAAATTATAGTCAAATTGATTACCTATGTTATTAATTAAACATGAATTTATTGCCATGTATTGGTTTATTCTTGTGTGCAAGAAATAGTATTGGTTTATATGCTTCATATCATCTAATTCTCAAAAGCTCTCTGTGAAGTGGAAATGATTCTTCCCATTTTACAGTTGAAGGAGGAGAAGCTTTGTGGTTAGATGATTTATCCAGGGCCACCCTGGCAGAATAGAATGCAAGTCTTTGAACGCTAAGGGCTTTGTGTAGATTGAAATGATGCAGATCTCCTGGTATTGATGGATATTATTATAAAATTATTCTTACTAATTACCTACATGAATTGTAAAAAAATCTGTGTTCCTTTATTTTAGAATTGATTTTGACTATATGTTTTGTGTTTAAAATTTGGTCAAGGAGGAAATGATTGCATATGTTCCTTAATTATCAAAAAATGCCTTGGGACAAATATAACTATGAGTCAGACAAGAGGACTTAAAAATTCCTCTTACTTGGCATATATGAGAGTGCATCTAACTGCCTTCCCATTTCTCCCCATGATTGTGAAGAACAGAAGATCCAATAAGGAGGGATAATAACTATTTGAGTTCATAGAAAGAGATGAACACTTCCGTAATTCCTTTATCACCATCCGGAAGAAAAAAATTAACATTTTTATACTACTCCCAAACTGGCTTTAAAAATACATAGTCATTGTTCTGAAAAATAGGTGACTGTTTCGTAAGGAACACTGACCCTGAGCAGCACAGCTGGAGCATTTTCAGTTGACCAAAGGACCTTCCCCACTGCTAGCTAAGCTGGGGGTTTTTACTCTTTGTGACTCTGGACTGCTACTATTTATTCCTCTTTTAGCACGTACATATTTCCATTTTAATTATTGCAATAAAAACGTTCTATGTTGATTTTTCGTAAAAATGAACATGTTAAAATAATGAGGCAACCAGTTCACAAATAATAATTATTTTGAAATGCTCATATGTCCTAAAACTATATTCTGAACAATTAAAATAATGTGTTTATTTTTCAGAATTTTACACTCCATGAAGTAACCAATGACTTTGACAATATGACCGTATCTGCAGTAATAGATAAACTGGCAATATTCAGCTACTATACATTTTGGGTAACAGCAAGTACTTCAGTTGGAAATGGGAACAAAAGCAGTGACATAGTTCAAGTATACACAGATCAAGACAGTATGTAAATGAAAAGCATTTCTTAATCTTGAATAGGATTAGTTTAAAGCTTTATAATTATTTCAGAATCTTTTTTCTATTTGTATATATTGGTGGTAAAGTCTATATTTTATTTAGGCACATTTAAGTAGTCATAGAAGTTTGAAAATGTGTTTACTATAGCTATAAATCTACCACACAGTAACAGTCTTTTCTATTCATAAAAACAGGTATCATCCATTCATAAAAATTCTGTCACTTTTATTGCTTCGAAAGAGGTCACAGCCACCGGTTATGGGCATGAAAAATACTGCCGCGTACGTGGATAGATTTTCCAATACTTAATAATCCATTTGCTCTAGAAATGATATTTTTTTTTCTCTCTAGCAACTAGTTTCCTTTTCAGTCTTTGAACCCAAATAGGACTTTATGGAGCATCTTTGTTCTTACTTACACATTAGTTTGTGACTGATGTGCCCAAAATATCTTTTTTTTTTTTCTAACCCAACCCCAGAAGTTTCTTGTATGCGGCTTCTGCAGAATCCGGTTGGTGCTGAGTATTCAGAAGACAAAAATACCTGAAGTTCTTGCTGGTTTTTAGGTTTCAGTTTCGTGAATACAGTGATACATGGATCATTGCCTATTTCTCCTTGTGGTTGTCTCTATTGTCCATTTATTTTTAAAAGAAAATCCAGTCTCTTATTGAGAAATGATACTGACCTAAATTTCTGCTGAGAGTAAAAGTCCATGTTTCGTATTTGAAGGTTATAAATTGACAGGCACTAAGTATGAGGAGTGAATGCTTTCCCTGTTGTTGGAACAGTCTTTTATATTGTTTACTCATTGATCAGCAGAGTAGATATGATAAAATGTTTGGAAATAGGTGTTTGGGGTAGTCTGCAGCAAAAATGCTTAGTACAATATGTGGTCAGATTCATTTCAGGCATTCGTTAACACAGATCTCTCCCAAAAGTTTCACCAACCTATAATGCTTTATCAGTTATTATGGCACCACGGATAATAAACATTTGCTCTGCACCGTTCTAGGTGCAAGGTCCTAGGTGACTTCATATGTACAATAAGAATAATATTTAGAAGAAAGAATCTAAAAATATTGTTGAAGTAATATACACTAGCAAAACATATGTATTTGTGCAAATTACTCAGATATTTGTGTGTATTCATAATCTAATACACATAATCTCCATCACATACTCGTAATCTCATACACGTGCTCATAATCTCCATCTTGTAGGAAAGAAAAGCCAAGACAATACTGTATAAAACAGTTCTCACATATATTAAAGATGACAGGGTTTATTCTGAATGATTTTTTGATCTGACTATTCAGAAGACATTTTGTAGTAGGTGAAGTTACCATACGTGCATTTAAGTAACGTTAAGAGCTGGTGATGTCATAGACACCATTTCAATAATTTCCCCCCGGTTTGTGAATTTACTTAAAGTTTATTTAGGGTGACTGATGACTTTTATATTTTGCACGTTACCTGTCATAGTTCCTGAAGGATTTGTTGGAAACCTGACTTTTGAGTCCATCTCATCCACCGCAATAAATGTGAGCTGGGACCCTCCATCTCTACCAAACGGTCTAGTCTTCTACTATGTATCTCTGAGCTCACAGGAGACTCCTCGCCATGTGAAACCACCTCTCGTTACGTATGAGAGAAGCATGTATTTTGATAATCTGGAAAAATACACTGATTATATATTAAAAATCACTCCATCAACAGAAAAGGGATTCTCTGATACCTATACTGCCCAACTACACATCAGAACTGAAGAAGATGGTAGGCTGGACCCTTTTATTCCCTGCTAAGCAGATTGTTGATGTTTTCTTGTTTATATTGCTTTCTGATAGAAAACATTATTCTTTAGCATTATATAGATTCTGTTCGTTCTTAAGTAATTAGCCTTTCAATAAACACAGTGAGTTCCTTTTCTTAAAATTAGTTACCTATTGATAAAATTAAGTCCTGTTCTTATTAAAGCCTCTTCATTTTAATGCTAATTCACTTTTGTTTCATTGAGTATTCTTTTTTTTTCTTTTATAGTCCCAGAAACTTCACCAATAATCAACACTTTTAAAAATCTTTCCTCTACCTCAGTTCTCTTATCATGGGATCCCCCGGTAAAACCAAATGGTGCAATAATAAGTTACGATTTAACTTTACAAGGACCAAGTGAGAATTATTCTTTTGTTACCTCTGATAACTATGTAATCCTGGACGAGCTCTCACCATTTACATTATATAGTTTTTTTGCTGCTGCAAGAACTGTAAAAGGACTCGGTCCTTCCAGTGTTCTTTTCTTTTACACAGATGAGTCAGGTAAGCTGGAATCCGTATTTCTTCAAATGATTTCATTATTGCAGCATTTACTGTCTCTTTTTAAGGAACAGCATGAAAAAGGAAAGGAGATTTAATTGTCTATTTGTAACAGGCTGACAGCTATTCATCTGCTTTGCTGAACATTTTTTTTTTTTTCAGTGTGAGCTTTAGAACAAAGTGTTCTGTTTAAAGCTTCCTTGGAACTACTGAGTTCCAAGTGCAGCAGCGTGATTACTTATACTTCTTATTTCTGAAATTAAAATATGATCATTTTATAAATCTTTCTTAACTAGTGTCTTCAAGAAGCTATATCATGATGACAGTTTTCTGCTAAAAATGGTATGAATATAAGTTTTATAATGTGTTTTCCTGCAGTGCCTTTAGCACCTCCTCAAAATTTGACTTTAATCAACTACACTTCAGACCTTGTATGGCTGAAATGGAGCCCCAGTCCAGTTCCAGGCGGTATCATTAAAGTATATAGTTTTAAAATTCATGAACATGAAACAGATACTGTATTTTATAAGGTAGGTCATTATACCAGCAAATGTTGATTTCACAGATTTAGGAATTGAGTTAAAGTCTTTTGACATGCAGGGGGAAAAACTGCTTTAAATTATACAAGGACCAACTTTCTAAAAAATCTTTTTTGTTTCCTACAGTGTAAGGTTGCTTGTGGAAAACACAGCAAACATTTGTCAGATATAGAAAAGGGCAACTTCATAAAGTGGTTTATTTAGAACGTGTAACTTATAGATATCTACAAGTTAGGAAATAATTGCACCATTTTGTTAATGCTGGAAAGTATACGGTAAAGTTTTTCAGACTATCTAAAACCTGTTGTTATCGTAAGTGTAGTACATTTCTACCGTCATCCCCTTTATCCACAGGGGGTACATTCCAAGACCCCCAGTGGATGCCTGACACTGTGGATGGTGCTGGACCTGTCCATATGTACTAGGTTTCTTCTTATACCTAAGTACCTATGATAGAGTTTAATTTATAAATTAGGTGCAGTAAGAGATTAACAACAATAATAATAAAATAGAAAAATTATAACAAACTGTAATAACAGTTATGCAAATGTGATCTCTCTCTCAAAACATCTTACTTTACAAATTTAATGCCTTTTCCATCTTAACTAAGCGCTTATCACACACTGTGACCATAACTTTTGCAGTTTGAGGTACTATAGTAAAACTAGTACAGTTTTTTCCTTCTTCCCAATTTCACTGGTAGACTAAGCTTCATTCTTACTGTAGATCTCAGCAATCTAAGCATATATTCTTTTTCTTTTTCTTTTTTTTAATTAAGTTGAGAACTTTCATCTTTTCACCCAAGGGAAGCACTTTATGGCTTTTCTGTGGCATCTCTGAATTGCCAGCATCATTACTCTTGTACTTTGGGGCCTTTATTAAGTTAAGTCAGGGTGACGTGAATCAAGCACTGGGATACCTCACAGTAGATCTGATAACCCAGAAGGCTGCTGACTAACAGATGGAAAACGCTGGACAAAGGGATGATTCGTATCCCGGGCAAGATGGAGCGGGACAGCTCAAGGCTTTATCTCGCTACTCAGACTGGCACACAATTTAAAACTGATGAATTGTTTATTTCTGAAATTTTCCTTCTAATATCTTCTGGCTGTGGTTGACTCTTGTAACCGAGACTATGGAAAATGAAACCATGAATAAGGGAGGACTACTGTATTTGGTGTTTAAAAAAATAGTACCAAGTGACTGTTTTTAACCTTTTCAGAAAAGTGTTTATACTGGCCTTGTGGTAACCTTCCCAAATAGCATATACTCCCACACTAATTGGTCTTTTAAGATATATTATTATTCTTTTCCTTTCAATGCTAATTGGTTTCTGTGCTACATTCCCTTTCCTACCTCCATTTTTAGGTTCCAGAATCAATGAAAAATACCCAAAGAACTGATGTAACAAAGGGTCTCAAATATACCTCTATGATTTTCAGCATTTAATTGCCAAAATACGATTAACTGGCATTTATTTGAGAAAGAGTTCTTTTTCTTTTCCCCAAAGGCAGAAGAAGTACTGGAATGCTCTTTAGGTACATCAAGGAAAGTGCAAAAATTCTCAGTAACCTTGTCCCCGACATTATATGCATTGCAATTTATTACCGATGGTAAATCATTTTTATAGCACATGTAGCTTGCAAAGTGACTAGTAAAAATCAAAAGCAGTGAGTAAAGTTATGTCATAAGGAGCAAAATGAAGTACTGCTGACTGCTCATAAGTTGGATTTCAGTTGAGGACTTTAATTTTAGCAAATTTGAAGGAAATAATCAGTATGTGATTCCAAGAAAAAGGCAGGCAGACAAAATGAAAACAAAATACTTCAGCTTTAAAAACAAATGCCAATTATTAGACTCTTCAGGGCTGACAGGGTGCCCTGTTCATCCTTGCCTCGTCAGCTGAGAACACCCTGTGGCTCACACAAAAAAATGTTTAATATTTTAAAATTTTAATTAAAAAACCCATGCTTATTAAATTACAAGTTAAACACAGAAGACATAATTTTGATGCATTAAAGTATTTCTTCCAGTTATAAAACAGTTTTTTGATGATGCATTGTGACTAAGAATTTTTTTGTGCTTTCAGAATATTTCAGGTTTTCAAACCGAAGCCGAACTTGTTGGACTGGAACCAGTCAGCACCTACTCTATCAGCATCTCCGCCTTTACCAAAGTCGGAAATGGCAATCAATTCAGTAATGTAGTGAAATTCACAACGCAAGAATCAGGTTAGACATGGTTTGTTGATGCTAAAATGTTTCATCTTGTATTTAACAGTTTTGTCTTTTGTTTCTCAGTTTATGTGATTAAGTATCAATATTTAATTGTTCATTCAAAAATAAGTTGAATTTCAGTGCTTTAAGGCTAGGCTGGGTCTTGTCTGCAATCAGATAGATGTATATTTACACATGGTTTTTCATTTTGAACTGAGGAAGCTGAAATAAAAGACTAGTTTAGGAATAAAGCAGGCTTCTAGAAATCTGTGAAAAATGACCTTCTAGATATCTGTGTAGCTACCTAAAAGGTTGTTGTGAAAAATATTTTAAAAGATCCATTTTAGTATTTTAGTACTATCTGAGGCAGGTGGGAAAAATAAAAGAGACATGAACCAGTAGTCACTTTTAACAGTTTGATTTGTATCTTCATGCAAAAATACCTATGATTTTTTAAAGAAGCTGTGTTGTGACATTTAAAGACCGCTAGTTATTAAGTAAATTTTCACTTTGCCATAGTCCATTTGTAACATGGGGAGTTGACTATGAAGACTATGAAATACCACTCATTGGTCTAATTAAACAGCTCACCTGTGTGACGTATGTGCCATCACTCAACTGTGTACCGAATAGATTTCATTTATAACTGACTAAATGGTGGCTTAGAAATATACTTTCCCCCTCTCAACTGACCATATGTTTAAAGGCACCTCTTCTTCACTCTTTTTTTGGCAATGATTATTGAATAAGCTCAAGATCCTGTTCTAGTCATTTCTTCCCTGTACCTCTGGCTGTACTTCCTCTTATTTTAGTGAATTTCTAAATAGAAATTGGAGCCCACTCACTGATAAATTAATTTCTGAATTAATTATCATTTTGCATTAATTAATTAATATATCTGATACTTTTTTTTTCCATGGCATGCTTAAGACAGGTTAAATAAATAGTATTTATAATGAATGTAAGTGCATGCTCTGAGTGATGTCCGAGTGTCTGGATTTGAATCCAAGCTCTGTCACTTACTGGTTGTATAACCTTGGCAAAGGCACATGACTACTCTCTAAGCCTCTAAACCTTTAACTGAAAAGAAACGCACATCAGCAGGGTTGAAAGGTTGTGAAAAATATTTTAAAAGATCCATAGAAAGCACTTATTACTGTGTCGGACGTACAAGGACTCAAAAAATATTAGTTGCCCCTGTTCCCATATGACAGATGAAGAAGCTGTGATTCAGGCAGATTAGATGGTAAGGGCTGAGAAATAGTGAAGACCCTGAACTAGAACATCAGCTTCTGACCTCCAGTGAGAAGTGGACGCGACTGTAGGAACTGCATGTCATTAATGAGTGATGCTGTGGGAAAATGATAAACCCATAAAGAAAATAAATTTATTTACACATAGATTAATAAAAATCAAGGCTAATTTTATAGACAGTGCTCTGTAAAATGATGAATACTTTTCCAGTAAAACTATTTCACAAAATCGTGTGCCAAAATCCAAGGGTTTTAATCAGTAACATAACAAACCTTTTTCCTTTGACATGGTCTGATTTTTGTTGTTTGGAGGGAGACAGCGGAGGAGGGGGTGGAGAGAGAGTTTGTGAGCCAGCGTGCAGTACCTGGGACCAGTATCGGTGCCTACCTGAGTTAGGAAAATTACCTTTCTCGTTCTGTATGAGAAGAAGGGTGTATAAAGCAACATGAATCATTAGCCCTCATTGTGTTTTAAATTACAGATCAATGCTAATTGTTCTCAGAGCTGGATTTTCTTCTTCAAAATTAAATTGTTTTTCTTTTGGATTTAATGAAGTATTGCTAGCTGAGGCCAGTTTGACATGGTGAGAGAGATGTCAGACTGATAAAAGGTGTGCAGCCTGATTTAAACCAAACCCTGAGCCCTTTTCAAGTACAATAAAACATACGTTACATGCAATAAATCCTATGCCCTGATCAATTGAATAAAAGAAAATTTTCGCCTGGTTAATTAAGTGTTTTTAGGTTTACAGAATCAGTGAAATAGATGTTCACAAAATCCAGGTAAATTTAAATTTAGTTTAAACTTAAGCAAATTATCAACTGTCTCTGGTTAATTTATTTTATAAAAATATTGATATATGTTTTTAAAAATAAAGAAGCAAATAATCAACCATATTTAGCTGCCAGAAACCTGAATCAGCTGAGAAATTGCCTTTTCTTTCATTTTAAATGCTGCACACCCCTAAGTATTCTCCTTTAGTTCTGATACTTTTATCATCAGAATCAAGGAAGAAGGGTTTGGAAAGTGAGAAATTTAGGCCAGGAGAGAGAACTTTAGCAAGCCAAAGAGTACTTGAGTATTCTTTGAATAACTGTGCTTTGTATAATGACAAGTTGTTTCTTTTCACTGTTTGTTGATTGACTACATGCCAATTTTCCTTCTAGCATCCTCTTTTTACTGTAACAAGGAAAGCTGTGCTGACATTAGGGGACATTAGATAACCAGACATTGCTGTGGGAAGTAATCACTATCTCCAACCTGCAGTCACTTTGGCAGACTGGGATGTTGTTCTCCACCAGATCAAGTGAATTCAGCTAAGTTCTAGGAAAGACTGGGATTGAATTAAAAAGTGGGGCTGATTTAGATCTTCTTTCCAGTGACTTTTGAAAAAGATACTGAAGGATCAGGTCTTCATGCTTCTTCCAAAGAAGTTATCCAAAACCCCTGATTCAGTTCCATATTTCCTAGTCCTGTTAAGCCCGGATGTGCCACATCAGCCTGGCACCCACATCTATGTTCTGCGTTGGAAAGTTCCATAATAAAGTATTGCTAGGACTGCTCCTTTCCGACTAAGAGAGAAAGGGGCAGGCTTCAACCACTGCCTGAGTTTGAGGCTACACAGTTGTATCTGAGGGTTTGAGGAGGTGATTGCTGCTTGGGTCTAGGAGAATGTTCAGTGACGGGTTCAGTAGCGTAAAGATTAACATGGCAGCATAGAAAATGGGCCCACTGCCATTGGATTCAGCCCATGTCAAGAAC